TCTTCCCGACCCGACCGTTCCCGCTAAATTTAGATCTCGTTTCCAGAATCTTACATTTAAATGTCCGCTACTGAAAGAAGGAGAGATAGGCTAACAAATAAAAGTGTAGTCTGCACAAAATTGTATTTAAATAATTCGTCTTGTCAAGAGTCTTGAAGTTATTGAAAGCAAATGCTGCCAACACAGTAGGGGAAAAAAAGTGTCACAGAGAAAATAAAAATGTTGTACAAAAATTGTATTTCTTATTTTTATTCGTCTTGTCAGGATACAATTCGTTCAACATTTACAATAGGGAAAAGTGTCACAGAGAAAAAAAATTAAAATGTAGGTTGTACAGAAATAGCCTAGCTATTTTTATTCGTCTCGTCAAAATACTAAATTCGTTTAACATTTTGCTGTACACACAGTAGGAAAAGTGTCGCAGAGAAAAATAAATAAATAAATACACTACGACATCTTTCATTTAAAATGATAGGCTAAGCAAAAACCGAGTTGAACGTCCTTCAAGGACAGCGCAGCCACACTTTGCTCCATCCTTATTCTGCTCTGTCACTCATCGACAACCTGCCTGTTCTATCTGAGTACCGTATTTTACCACCGGTAGACTACAGCCTGCTCTGAGCATCGTTATTCACATGCTGCGCACAGACCTCGCAAATAAAATGCGTGACTCAGAAAGCACTGGTTCATGCATAACAGTCCTGAGTGTAGGCTGTACCGGTGGTCAATAAAAATAAAGGACAGATATGTTGTTCTGAAAGGACATCGGGAACGGGATATTGTTAGACCGCCCGCTCCCGTTCAAATTACACCAGAGTTACCGACCGCGACGCGTTTTATTCGGGAATTTAATCCCGTTTTGCAAGAAATCTGGTCGGGTGCAGACCTCTGCAACACCCTCAGCACCCCCGCTTCCCACGCCTGTGATTAAAGGTCACATATTTTACACCTTTCTGGAGTTTTCTTTTGTCTTGATGTCCTTAAGAATATATATTTGCGGTATAATCCTCCCTCAGGAGCTCTGCTGAGAACAGGTCGATTTTGGCCTAATTAATATTCATGAGCCTCTCTTCTGATTGGCCTGTTTTTTTTTTGAGTGACGCATAGCCAGGCCAACCACAGGTAACTAGGGTCATGTATGCTGTAGCCTGCTGTGGATTGGTGATACTCAGAAGTAAGGTCAATAGAAACACTGGTAACGATGGTCACTGCTGAGGGAAATGTTGTCCGGCCTTACTTGTTTGAGCCGAACTCAGACCCCGAATCGGCGACGACAGGAGACAACCAACCACCTCCTCAAACGATCTAATGATGTAAATGATGTAGTTTCCTGACATCCAGACTGAACAGCGTTTTCTTGACATGTTTCCTTGTTGTTGTTGCTCAGCAATGGCATGGACGCGATGTTGTCTGGGGGTTTGGCAAAAGGAGAGTGGGACTGTGGGCAGTGCTCGGGGTGGTGACTGAAGGCGGTGACTGAGTAGTTCTGACGTCACCTTTTTACGGAAGTCACAATGGCTCGTGAAAAATCACAGCTGCTTTATGCAGGCTGTTTGCATTTGACTGTGGATTGACTGTTTTTAAACTTATATGGTAGTTACATAGCACCTAGACCTCAGTTATCATGAAAAAAGCCAGGAAATTTCAGTTTTGACAATATGGGACCTTTAACATTCATAACCGCTCTCGTCGTAGTACGACTTCTTGTAATTATTCATTCCTTCAAAATTACAAACTACTACAGATTAATGATATGTAACTGAAAGAATAATTTGAATAAAACAAATAGAGAAACATTTTTCTAAAATAATAATTTGAAACCGTTAGTATACCTGCTGTGATCAAAGCAATAGAAGATCGTTCTTTGTGAATTTATTATCAACATATGTAGGCTGTTTAACACATGCTAAAAATACCTGAAGGTGGTGGCCTTGATTTTATGATTTTTTTATTATGATTTTATTTCTGTGGGACATCCTGCATGTGGAGTTCAGCCTCCTGTCACCATGTGTTTCCTGAGCCTGTTATCCTGAGACACTGCTGTCCATTAACAGGAAACAACAATAAAGACTCAATGCCAGAAATAATTAATCCCAGATATTAAATAGATTTCTCTCACCCTTTGAATTCCTCCTTGGTATTTTGGGTTCAGCATTCAGTGCCACGTCATGTTATAGCCTACTATAGTTACTTTTCTCATCACCTGAAATGTCTTTCACTTCTGAAGACGAAAGATGTGTCAGTACAGACATACAAAACTGTTTTAAGCCCCCTTTATAATCAAAATGGAAAGTACCATTATGCCTCTAGACATACAATTAATTAAGGACAAGTCAAAACATGCATACTAATGATATAGTGGACTCGTGTTTAGCCCATCACTATAGCGATCAAACAAAGAAACTGTCAGAAAACAAGGTGTGTTTGCAATTGTAAGTGATTGTTCCCAGACTTTTGGTTGAAGACAGGAAAAGCACAAGACCTATTTCCACTACATAACTGTGCTTAAACCTGAGTAATACTTTACCATTAATATCTGCATATGGGTTAGTATCGCATTTATATCAGTAATGTATGGAAGCCCATTTCTGCCACATAAAAAAAACATGCTTAGGCAAATCATGATTATGTGATAAAAAGCTAAAATTATGGAATGTCATAAATATGAGATACAAAGTCAAAATCAACATAAGTATAAATAATGACATAAGTAGCTTTGTCACACTGACTTAACTAAGACTCAGACCTTTTATCTCTTAATTATGATTAGTATGGTATAATTTTGACTTTTTGCCATAATTGTTTTTTTGTCATAAGTATGATTTTTTTTTCCTCATAATTTCGACTTTGTCATAATTATGACTTGTAAGTTTGAATTTTTACATCAGTCTTTTATGTATAATTTTTTTTTTTCAGAAGTGTGACTTTTTATCTTGTAATTTCAGCTTTTGATGTCATAATTATGATTTACCAAAGCATGATTTTTTTTTATGTGGCTGAAATGGGCTTTCATAGTAACAGGAGAGCAACTGACATACGAACCCAACGGTCACAAATGGATTCATTTGTTTAAACTCGTTATAGTTTGCAGTCGTTAAGTAAATCATGTTTGCAGTCTTTCAGTAAATCAACAGGTTACGTGAAACCATTAATATTTCACTCAACAGGAAATGAAAAGGGATGTTTTGTCAGCAACAGAAATTCCAACAACAGAACAGAAATGTTGTGTCTGGAGTGTTAATTTCACTCAGCGTATTTGCTTTTAGTTTCCATCGTCCTGTTATGTAACCCAGAGCTGATAAAGTGAGAAAAATATTCTACAATACACATTTAAGTACAACATCCCTTTTATTTTCCATGAGCAGAACTCTTCTGGGGTGAACGGTTCATCAAACAGGAATGACTTGTTGCTCC